ATCCCAGGCCGCCCTGGCCGAGCTGCAACAAGGTCCAGCTGCTCTGCTCGTCGTCGGGACCCTCGCCGACGGAGAAGACGGCGCCGACGCCGAGCGCGTGGAGCTCCGCGAGCGCCTTGGTGACGTCGTCGCCGTCGCAGACCGCGAGCACGCCGTCGAGCGCGCCGAGGCCCGCGGCTTCGATGGCGTCCTCGTCGTTCGCCGACGCCCAGAAGTCGCGCACCTTGGCGTCGTCCGTCTCCTCCATCAAAGAGCGAAGCTTGCCCAAGTTGGCGTCGTGCAGCGCGAAGAACGAGTTCCACGCGGGGTACTCCTTGGGCACGGGGTTCGCGTCCATCCAGCCGCCGTTGGCGTAGCGGAAGAAGTTCGCGCCGGGGCTCACGGACACGTCCAAGTTCGCCGCCTCGAGGCCCGCGTGGGGCGCCGGCGCCGCGACGCACTCGAGGCAGGCCGGGCCCTCCTGGCTCCACGGGTTCTTGCAGCACTCGCAGCCGAGGCGCTTCTTGCCGGGGTTCGCGGGATCGAAGAGCATCATATTGCGGGGACGGCGACAAAGTCGCGGCGCTCGGGGGACGACACAGAGGGCGGACTCAGTCGGCGGACTCGCAGAATCGAGTGGAGCTTCACCATGGGGCGCTTATCCAGGGGGGATCGTGGGGTACCTCGGCGAGCCGAGCCAGGCGGCGGCCGGAGGCCGCCCCCTAGCCGTCGCAGCGGAGGTTGGTCGTGAGGGTGGCGAGGGCGGCGCGGTCCGCGAGGCGGCGCGCGTCGTCTTCGAGTCGGTGGGAGAGGGCGCGGGCCTTGGACGTCCAGGTGCCGTCGACGAACTTGAGGCCGGAGATCAGGTAGCGCGCGCGGTACTTCGCGGCGGTGGTGCCCCACTCGCGGTGGAGCTCGTTGCTGAGCAGGGCTTTCGCCTGGTCGGGGCACGCGCAGCCCATGGAGATCCAACGCGACTCGGAGAGCGCGGTCGCGACGTCCGCGAGCAGGGACGAGACGTCCTTGGAGGCCTCGGAAAACTGGCCGAAGACGAGGCCGACGCAGCCGCCGAGGGAGCTCAGCGCGCGGAGCATCGGGCCGTCGGAGACGCCGTTGATCTCAACGTCGATCTGCTTCGCGTGCGCCTTGTATTCGTTGTCGACGTAGGACGCCCGCTTGTCCACGGGCGACGCGCCTCTCCGCGCGGACGCCGCGGTGGAGTAGTAGTTCGAGTCGGCGGCGGACCAGGCAAGCGTTTTCACGTCGAAGATGCGGCGGACCTTGTCGAGGGGCTCGACGGCGAGGTCCGGCGTCACCATGGGAACGGGCCCCTGCACGACGGTCCGGCCCCGGGACGGGGGCCGGGGACGGCGG